TCTTCATAAAATGCCTGGATTTCTTAACTGAAATATTGGTCTGGAATGTTTGAAGCCATAACTATCTGGCAGAGTAACTATTACACAAAAGACTACATACAGATAATTTATCTGAAATCGTTATTTAATGACAAACTATGGCAGGGCTGTACAGTGCAACATATATGTCGCACGTGCTACGAAAAAACTGGTCTGTGCGATGAATAAATTTACCACTGTAGCACGCATGCGATACAGTTTTGCATGTTCATAATACAGCCGCTTAATAGTGTGAAGTGATTTCTTGTGCTTGTTTGTGTGTGTGAGATCGATTATACTTGGTAGTTAGGGGTGTGCGATATGACGATTTTTGATGGTGGACGATTAAAATGTCTCCACGATCTGCTTTTGAAGAAATATTGTTGTATCTGCTACAGCGCACATTCTATCAGCTGCAGTTCTGGCGCCTCCTCCGTCTCAATATAACGCCACGCATTCACATCAGTGTTAACTCAGCGCCAGCGTTAGAGTTACTCTCACAGGACTAATGCGCAATCACAGAACTACATTATTTCCATTTGCTTTAAAGGAATACCGGTTAAACATTAACATTATATAATATATAATACTAGTATAATAACATATACTAATTATATAACTGTGATGTTCTACAAAACACTTTTTTTCTTACTGCTGAAAATGAGATCATTTACTGTGAAATCTGTTTTCTCTCAGATACGTCACCAGTGTAAGCTTCATGGTGAATACTTCTACATCACTCTTGTCAACGTAGTCCATAGTTATAAAAAGAAAAAAATCTTGACTTCATCTAGTGGTTCTTTTGGGAGAAACAGTAGGGGGCGTTTTATCCCAAGGGGGCCCTTTTTCCAACAGTAGTGTAGCTACTTTGAAGAATTGGACATTTATAAGCAGAGACTTTAATGATTTACAATATTAGTCCTCTTGAGGAGCACACCCAACCTTTTTTATTTTTATTTTGTACTTCTAGTTATTGTTGTTGTAATCAAATTCTACATTTAGCACAATATTGCAGGTATATACCATTTAAAATTTGGGTAGCACTTTATTTTACAGTCCTGTTACTCATGTACATACTATGTTCTTATTTTAGTAATTACAATAACTATGTAAAAACTAGGTACCTGAACCTACCCCTAAATTTAACCCTACACCATGTAGTTACCTTATATTACCAGGACTTTCTTAGGTAGGTACACTGTAAGTACACGTACTGTAAAATATATAAGTGCAACCAAAATTTGAATTCCATTATTAAATTAGCTATTTATGCGATTTTTCCCCCTCTAGCAATTAAAGACCAGAGAATGGCCAAGGTATTTCACATTGCAATTTCATATAATGACTAGGTTTTTAAGGCTTTTCCCTACACTCCAAAGCAAACAAACAAAAACAGTGAGGACAGTGTACTACAGTGTACTTAGCATGTGATTCATTCTATAATCAGGTTGAGTTGTGGTTTCCCAGTGAAAGAGATCTTCCTGTCCCTGATGACCCAACTGAACCGCTGCCCTATGACAGACTAGCCAACCGTAAGAAGGTAATGCAGCAGGTTAAATGATTTTTAACTTTAAATGGGGTCATATCAATTTTTTCTTTCTTTCTTTTTGCCACAGATGTCTACATCTTCCATCCTTTCGCCTCTTTGCAAAGATTTATTGTGAAGTTAGTGTTTTCATAGTAGTACATCAAGCTTTTATATTTCAAAAGATCAAGAATAACTTGATTCCTCATGATTTGACCCCTTTAATATGCAGTGAAACATACCTGAATAAATGAATTAGATGAATAGTTCGCCCAAAAAGGACAATTTGCTGAAAATGTACTCACCATCAGGCCATCCAAGATGTAGATGAGTTTGTTTATCCATCTGAACAGATTTGGAGAAATTTAGCATTACATCACTTGCTCATCAATGGATCCTCTGCAGTGAATGGGTGCCAATTCATTTTGGAGTGAAGTATTCCCTTAACTTTGACTGCAACTATGATGTTTCCCAAAAGATGTTCTGAACAGATACTCTATATATAAACATAAATGTGTTGTTTTGTGATTTCTGTGTGTAGTTTTTCTTCAGTCTGTTTGCGAGCACACACTCATCTCCATTGATGCTGGACTATCTGAGCATGCTGCTGTATTTCTGCTGCCATCCTGAACCGGCTCAGGGCTTCACCAGAGCACTCAGCCTCGTGATCGGACACACACTGCACTATAAACACACTGGCCCCCTCACACAGGTACACACAGTATGAAATGGACTCTTCAACAGACTTTTCTGAGCTGAAGAGCTTAAAGAGAACTTGTCAGAGTCATATTTCACCCCAAAATAAAAAAATCCTGTTTTTAGAACCTTTAAGATTTGCATTGTGACATAATTTTTAATTAAACTAAGCACATTAATTTTGTTTTTCCACATGCTTTATTACACAGACAGATTAAAAACAAAACATAACATAGGACAATACAGTAAAGGGAACATTGTTTGCGCTTTCTTTTATCTTACCCCCACATTTAACTCTGAATGATAATCAAAACAGTACAGGGAAAGAAGAAGAAGAAGAAAAGAAAGGGTTAATTCAGACAAGAACTAGACGAACAATAAATAACCTCCCCCCACTCATAACCCCCTCAGGAGGATTAACAAGAAACTACAATATGTATAATAATAATAATAATACATGAATGTATATAATAATCTTTAAAATGTATATAAGAATAATAAAAATAGGCCGAAGTGCATACAATCAAAACATATAACCATGCATATATAAGTATACCTACATGCATGCTAACAAACAACCATACTGTACTGTACATAGATACAAACATGCTCACACACTGAACAAACTTAATCAGAATCTAGTGAGGTCAGAGAATCAAAGAAATTTTGAATGGGGTTCCAAGTTTTGTAGAATTTATCAGATGAGCCCCGGGTAGCGTACTTCAGTTTTTCCAGAGAAAGGAATGACATAAGATCTTTTAACCAAGAGGTAGTTGGGGGTGGGGTTGGACACTTCCAATGTAGCAAAATGCTTCTTCTAGCAACCAGGGAGGCGAAAGCAATAACATCTGCTTGTTGTTTAGTGAGAAGAGAAGAAAAAAGAGACACACCAAAGATGGCAACCATAGGACATGGAGAGAGAGAAATATGTAGAGCCCTTGAAAGAAAGTCAAAAAAGGAATCCCAGTAGCAGCAAAAGAATTATCAATGAAAAGATCTGAAAAACAAACAATGCCTTTATCACGCCATCTTTTAAAAGTGTGATCAATAGCAGAGGGCAAAAACAAGTGATTGTTGCAAATAGGGCTGAGAACAGAGAGCGATTTTAACTGAAAATGTTGTCGAAATTGTTTCCAAATTTTTAGAGTTGACAGCATAATGGGATTTCTAGTATAGCTAGAGGGACGGAGAGATAAAGGAGCAAAGACTAGTGCTGGGAGGGAAGAAGAGGTACAAGTAGCAGCTTCTAGTGTACACCAGCTAACCTGTGGAGCATTATACCATAAAGAAATCTTGGAAATATTAGCGGACCAATAATAAAATAAATAATTAGGCAGAGCTAAGCCACCATCACATTTACGACGTTGAAGAATAATGTTGTTTATTTTGGGAGTCTTACCTGCCCAAATAAAAGTGGAAATTGTTTTGTCAAGACAGTTAAAAAAAGATTTAGGTAGAAAAAGAGGAAGAGATTGAAAGAGAAATAAAAAAGAAGAACATTCATTTTAATAGTCTCCACTCTTCCTGCGAGAGAGAGGGGTAGGCTGTCCCAACGTTTTAAATCAAGTTTAATTTGTTCGACCAAGTTAGTGAAATTATTCTTAAAAAGAGATTTAAAAGAGTGAGAAATGTTTACCCCTAAATAACGAAAACCAGTAGAAGAAAAATGAAAGGGTAGGGAGCTTTTAGGAATTTTCCTAGTCGCCTCATTTATGGGGAAACATTCACTTTTTGTAAAATTCAATTTGTAACCAGAAAAAGAGCCAAAGGTGTCAAGCAAGCGCATAACCTCATCAACACAGCCTACAGGGTCCTGAAGATATAGCAGCAGATCGTCTGCGTATAGCGAGACCCGATGTTCAAAGCCTCCCCTATGGATACCGGATATTAATGGGGAAGATTTTAAGGCAATAGAAAGCAGCTCAATTGCCAAAGCAAAAAGAAGAGGGGACAGAGGGCATCCCTGCCTTGTCCCACGGGAGAGAGGAAAGAAAGAAGAACTACCAAAATTGGTTCTAACGCTTGCAGAGGGAGCAGAGTATAAAAGGCGAATCCATGAAATCAAATTGTGCCCGAAACCAAATTTTTCTAATACAGTAAATAAATAATTCCATTCTACACGATCAAATGCTTTTTCAGCATCGAGGAAAATAATCAGTTCTGAAGCTACAGAGGGAGATGGGTCAAAAATTATGTTTAACAAGCGTTGAATATTAGATGGCATCTGACGTCCCCTAATAAGCCCAGTTTGGTCATCAGATATAATATCAGATAGACATGAATCCATGCGCCTTGCCAACACCTTTGCTAGAATTTTTATATCAGCATTCAATAAACTAATGGGCCTATAACTACTACATAAAGTCGGGTCTTTGTTTTTTTTGTAATAGAAGAGAGATAGATGCTTGGTTTAACGAGGCTGGAAGACGTTGAAACGCCTCATTGTACATATCGAACAGTAAGGGGGCTATTTGAGTAGAGAATTTCTTATAGAAGTCTAATGGGAAACCATCGGGCCCTGGAGCCTTGTTACACTGCATGAGGCCAATACACCGTCTCAGGTTACTTATGTAACCATGGTTCCCTGAGTAGGGAACGAGACACTGCGTCCTCTAGGGGTCGCTATGGGGAACGTGCACATCGATGTATCCTGGAGGGGCTTAGATGGCAAGGAGGAAGTATTAAGGGAGGATGTCTCGCCCGAAGAGAGATAGCTAGCCAGCATCTCTTCTACAGGGGGCATCCTCTCATAGCCGTTTTCACGGGCCCTGGAGCCTTGTTACACTGCATGAGGCCAATACAAGTGATAATTTCATCTAACCTGATAGGTTCGTCCAAATTCTTTGCAGTGTCTGTATTAACAGTAGGAATATTTAAATTGTGGAAAAAAGAATCCATTAAAGATAAGTCAGAAGGGGATTGAGAGGTGTAAAGCTTAGAGTAAAAGGTGGAAAAGACAGAATTAATTTTATGAGGGTCAGAAACAAGCTTGTCTGAAGAGTTATCAAAAATATGTGTTATGCAGCAAGATGCAGACTGATGTTTAAGCTGGGAGGCAAGAAGGCGGCCCGCTCTGTCCCCATGTTCGTAGTAGGTGGCTTTGGTACTTTTAAGTAAATATTCTGCTTTATGTGTTGAGAGCAAATCAAATTCACTTTGTAATCTTAGGCGTTTCAGTTTAAGTTCGGGGCTGGGTGTGCAAGAATACTGGCTATCCACCTCTAAAATTGAGCGGATAAGCTCTTGCTGCTGTGATTTCCTTGTCTTAACTAAATGGGCACCATAGGAAATTATCCTGCCACGAATGAAGGCTTTAAATGTTTCCCTTAAAAGAGAAGCAGAAATGGTTTCTGTTTTGTTAGTTTCAATGAAAAAAATCTATATTTTTAGATAAAAATTCACAGAAATCAGTTCTAGATAGAAGCCCTGTATCAAATTTCCATGGAGGCCGGCTCTTAAAATCGGGCAAAAAGGAGAAGTCTAACATATGCGGGGCATGATCAGAAATAACGATGGCAGAATAATCAGAGGAAATCACAGAAGAAAGTAGGGCTTTGTCAAGAAAAAAGTAATCAATACGTGAGTAAACATGGTGCACACTAGAAAAGAAAGAGAATGTCTTATCAGAAGGATGGAAAGAGCGCCAGGGATATACACAGCCTATTTGATTCATCAATGAAATTAAGGACCTGGACATAGCAGAGGATATAGATGATTTAGACACAGATTTATCAAGATTATTATCAATAACACAGTTAAGGTCCCCTCCAAAAATAAGATGATGAGTGTCAAGATTTGGGATCTTTGAGAAAAGCATGGACATAAAAGTAGGATTGTCCCAATTCGGAGCATAGACATTTACTAAAACAACTGGTTTTTGAAAAAGAACACCACTAACAATAACAAAGCATCCCTCGGGATCAGAGATTACTTGTTCCGAGAGGAACATTACTCTTTTATGTATCAAGATAGCTGTACCTCTTGACCTGCTATTAAAACTGGAATGATACACCTGACCAACCCAAGGTTTACTCAGCCTAGTATGGTCACTTATAGGCAGGTGTGTCTCCTGGAGAAATATAATATCAGAAGAAAGAATCTTAAGGTGGGAGAAAACTTTGGAACATTTAATTTGACCACCCAACCCACATACATTCCATGTAACGATTCTAATAGTGTGACCACCCTCCTCCCCTAAGAACTAACAGAGGGCTTATCCATAAAACTGCTTTAAAGGAAAAAATAATGAAATTACCTGAAGGGAAAAAACCAAAATGCCAGGTTTTTTAACCTCAACCAAAAAGATACATGTAGAAAATGAAATTATAAACCACATAAAAAAAGAAAATCCTCCATTGAACACAACCCATGAACACAGAAAACAAAAATACAAGTACACTCAAAAGGAACCAGTGGAGAACACTTCTGATACTCGTCCTTCTAAACATGGCGAGTGGCCAGAAAAACTTTATCACAACCGATTAAGTAGTGGAGTCGGCTCCAACAAGATTAAAGAACACCGTTAAAACCAGATCGCTACCAATTAAGAATAGACAGGACGTAACTAAGCGAGTGTGCCGTGCAAAGTCACAAGGGTAATTATAAGCCCGGCAAGGAAGAGGAAAAAATAAAAAAAGGTGCCAAAGTGATTAATTGAAGTCTACCAAACATCAACGTGTACTAAACCAAAATCTCACAAGTCCAAGTGTCTTAAAATAAATAAGTAAATAAAAATAGTAGGGAATAGTCTCTGAAATACCTATGTGACATCGTCCATTAATTTACTCCGCAAAGTTTTGATGGTAGAATCGTTCTGCAGCCTCTGGAATTAATTTTGTTTAATTTACTTATTCTTATTACTGTAATGCACAGTCTGTGCCGTATATGGAGGGCGCTGGAGTTGAGGCGTGTGACGCTAATGATGAAGAGGAGGAGAGGGGGGTGGAATCTGATGAAGTGGGTCTGTCTTTGGATGATGTGCTCGGAGTTCTGAGTCATGGAGATGATCAAGTCTCCTCACGTTTGAACCGCTTCCAGCCAAACCACAGGAGCAGAGATGAACTCAGAGAGGTAGAATATAACAGCTCTGCTCCAAAACCAAAAGATCCCAACTTCACCCTACTTCATTTGGACCATTTTAATGAAAAAATATAAACAAATAGGAAACATTTTTATTTCAAATAAACACTCATGTTTGTGTATGTGTGTGTTAGTCACTTATAACTGTCTCATAAATGTAGGTCTATTTGTGAAATCTTTGTGTCCAGTAGGTGCTCACTGGAAAGTATTTCACTTAGTTTTGGAACAGAGTGACGTAATCTGTGTTTCTGTAGATCAGTAGATGGTGTAAATGGTGTGCATGTATGGGACTGTATTTAATGTGGTGTTGTGTGTTCAGGAGCTGTTGAAGGTGTTTAAGGAGTTGGGTTTTAAAGGTGAGGACAAGATTATTTTCTCCACGCTATCCCAGCATCCCTTTCTGCAGGACCTGATGGAAGAATCCTCACAGTACCTGCTTCCTGTGAGTATAACATGATCTCACACACATACTACAGCAAAGCTCAGTGGTGAGAGTTTTCTGGCAAGCAAAAGTTCAAATTAAAATATAAACATAAAAAATATATTATTATTTTGGTGATTGAATGATCTCAACATAGAAGATTCCAGTCACTAAACTGATTCATTTTGCTTACATTAAAACATTAATATGAAACATTTTAAGCTTTGATTCCATATATGTTCCATAAAATCTTCCTGTTTCATTAGAAATTACATCAACACAGGACAGAAACATGCACTTATCAAGACTTGATAGGGTCTTTATTGTAATATGAAATACAAATTAAGGTTGTTTTAATTGTGATTACACTTCTTCTGTACAGGTCATTCACAAAATTTTCCAGACCCAACAAACTGAGGCTCTTAGAAGCTTCTCAACATGATGAACAATCAAAACAACACACCATCACATGCATCGGACAAGGTACACACTAATGGAATAATAAATGTAAGTGGAACAAACATTAAAGCTGCATTTGGTATAGTAATAGTCTTATTTAATGTAATGAACAGAACACTGATCTGAACCCACAATAAACTCAAATTTCTTCATTCTAAATGTATTTATTGTAGTGGAGATACACATTTGATTGTAGCTGTGTATTGTTTCCCATTACAACAGTCATATCAGTTATTTGTGTGAATCTAAATGGAAGCTTGAACATGACCCCTTACAACAAAAACAACAATTAAGATAAATCAATGTAAAACCACTTTACAGCGACATAAATGTGAAGTAAAAATAATATATAAGTGAATGATTTGTTAAATGAGTATTTAACAAATTAATTTGTCAGATTCTGCTTTATGATTAAAAACATTTATTTTAGTTCTATGGATTTTTTTATATCGTATTTTTAAAACTATATCCTGAAGAATATGTATTGCTGTCTCCTCTATGGATTTATTCTCATCAAGAAACATTATTTTAAATGATTTAAAATCAACAATCTTCAATCTAGAATAATAAATGAAATATGAAAATAAAAATCCATAATAGACAAATCTCTATCAGACATTTCCCGGATAGTTACAGAAATGTGTGGGACTTCAATCAGGACTCAAGGACCCGCTGTTTCATTAATCTACTTCCATTTCTTCAACTTTCTCACTCAGCTGTTCTTCATTTACGGGCATGTTTGCTCCACATGTATCCTTTAGGGGCCTGAGGCCAAAATGTTCATGTATAGATTTAAATTTAGAGAGCAATTTTAAAATGTCACTTCTTGTCTTGACTTGTGTGACAATAGCATCTATGATGGATGGCATGGAATAGGAATATTCTATAACACTCCTAGTTTTCTCACCTTCTTCGTAATCAAAGCCACCAGAATGCATACCAATCAGACAGCAGTGTTCATCAAACACTGGAGAGCCAGAAGATCCATGATAGAAACAAGAGTCATAGGTAATCCGGTTCTGATGTAGATACGGCCAACAGTGCCATGATACATATGGACAGGAAACATTCTCAGATATGTGTTTATTTATACTCTGTGGTTGCTTCTCACTCCCAATGATGAAGCAAGGGTCCATCTTCTTAACCTCACCATTTGGGTGTCCCAAAATGTAGATCCCACCACGGTTAGGAGGGGAGACATGCTTATAGCGTTCAAACAATTCAGTACAGTCATCAGGTGCAGCTTCCAGTTCAAGAAGAGCAAAATCATGGAATCTGAGCCTGTCATTCGTTTCATAACCATAAGCAACAACGTCATCTTTTATTGACAGAACTTTTGCATCAGATCCAGAAACTTCATAATTAAATACAGCCGTCAGAGTCTTTGAAAGTTTAATTGTGTGAGGATGCTCTGGTGAGGAATAAACACAGTCCTTAACTACATGAGCATTAGTGAGGATGAATCTGTCAAAGACTAAGAAGCCGGTTCCTTTAGCAGAATTCTCAACTTTAATCAAACACACAGAATCGGAGAGTGTCATAATCTGCCTCACTTTGTTCACCTCAGTGAAACATTGAACACCTTTGTCATATTCTTTTTGGATGAACCTTTGAACTTGGGGGTTCTTTCGCCGTTTTAGCTTTTTCAGTACATCTTCACACAGAGACTTGAGAAAGTTCTCAATGTGAATGGAGAAAGAATTTCCAGAATCACTAGAAAAAATTCCAGAAGTATTCTGTGTTGCTGGCCCTATAGCTGAAGGACCTGCAGAATCTGTCTCTCTCTCTTGAATTGTTTTTTGCTCAGTGGAGATGGGATGCTGACCTGGGTCATCTTGTGCTGAATCAGCAGCTGAAGCTACATCAGATTCAATCTTGACTTTAGTTTGTTTCTTTTGGCCGACTGTCACCAATAACAATTATCTGAAATGTCTTCTTATCAAGATGCTCAACAGGGTTGGACATTTCATACCTTGATTGAACCCTCTTTGCTCTACCCTTAGACTCCAGGGAGAGGACACAGAGTTTCTGGAAAGTTTTATCAGTGAATCGTCCATCACGCTTAAGAGCAGTTTCGACCTCCTCTCCTTTGAATGCATAAACACAAACATAATCAGCAGTGTTTCTCAGTTCATTATTTTTCATTGTGTATATCATATTCTCCTTTCCTGTCGTTTTAATGTAAAATGTGACTAGGTCCGTCCCGGAAGAAAAAGGTCTTTCTTGTGTCTCCTGCATTGCACAAGCCTTTTTTTTCTTTGTGATGAAGGTTATTGTTATGATCTCATCTTTTTCAATAAGACAGCAGGGGAAATCTGTCTTCACAGCAGCTCCGTCAGCTCTCAGGATGACTATTTCTTTCTTCATGTCATTTACATTCTTATTCACCCTGAAAGTGTCGCTTGTATTAAGGGCATCAAGCACAGTCATGGATGTATTACATGACACAAAAACTGGATCAGGATCAGAGTCGAAACAAAACCTGAGAGTGTGTTTTTGCTCTTTTGTTCTCTGTTAAATTCAGATAAACAATCCATCATGTACAAACAGACATTCAAGGGAATATCATTTAAGAAACATTTGTCATGTAATGGTGATTTTTTTTATTAGTATTTTTTTAAAGGTAAATTCCACCCAAAAATAAAAATTCTCTCATCACTTACCTTCATGCCACCCTAGATGTATATATCTTTCTTTCTTCAGATGAACTCAAAGACACACATTTTTACCACACATTTTTTGGAAAAAATAAATCCATCTCTGTGAGTCCATGTAATGTAAGTGTACAGGACCCTCAAAGTTGACTCTTCAAAACTACACTGTGAACACAACAGGAATGCATATGTCCCCAGTGGATGAATCAATGTCTTCTGAAGCAAAACAATAGGTGTGTTTAAAATTTAACTTCAAATTCCTCTCCTTTGACATAAACTCCAGTATTTTGTGAAGCATGATGTAAGCACATTGTAAAAGCTCATGCTAAAAGTGATGGTCCCCGGGTCTTCCACATTTCGCAAGTTTCACAATGTGCTTACATCGTGATTTGCAACATGGTGACATTTATGCCTAACATAACATTAACATATATGACAGTTGGCCATAAGCCATTTTCTTTTTTGAGTGAACTATCACCTTCAAGTACTTTTGCTCCATTTAAACTTAAATACTGAATTATTTGAAAAATAGTATAAAATGTTTAAACAAATGGTCCATGATTTACATATGAATATTGTTTAGTAACACGAAATCCCAAATGATACAATAAGGATCTCTGGTCAGATTTGACCACAAACAACACGAGTGTGACTTCCAACTGAACAATACCAGAGGGTTAAGCTGCAGTCTCACATTTGACGATGCACACTTTCTTAAGCATCAACTTTGAGGGTCCATTATATGGGGTCACACAGATGGATTACTTTTCTAAAAATCTCCATTTGTGTTCATCTGAAGAAAGAAAGCCATATACATCTGGGACAGCATGAGGGTGAGTAAATGATCAGAGGTCTTTCAGAATTTTGGGTGAAGTATCCCTTTAGGCAATCTACCTGCTGCAGATGTTTTTAGGGTTCCTCTTCAGCTTCTGTCTTAAGTGAATGAGCCATTGTTTCCTGCTAAATGTCAACAACATTGAAATTAATACAGGTTTACCACTGTCTAAAGATTTCTATCATAATTTAAATCAGACTAGTGGTCTGTTAACACTGAGAGGGAAACAAATATGCATTTAGAAAATACAGTATAGCCTACAGAACAGTCAAAAACATCTTCTGTGAATCAGTGAAATCACAGTTTTTTTTTTTTTATTCCAACTGTGGCATTTTTCTGTATATCCACAATAGAGTGTGGTTGTTCAAATGAAAAAAAAAAAGATTCCTTCTTATATAGGAATATAAAAATTGTTTTAGTGATTGAAAAACTGAGGAATTAACAGATATAGCATATCGTTATATATAAGCGTTATATTTGTAATTTCTTATTAAGTAATTAGCGATTTTATATTGTTATATTAATAACCCTCAGGCACTGTAGTATTCAGCTGATTTTTGACAAGTTACCTCAAGCTTTTTGTTTCGTAGGCCTAAAACACTACAAAACAAACAAGAAGTACCACAACCTTACCTGAACACTGTCACTATAGCTTGTGACATTTCCCCAGGTTTAGATTACCATTAGATCTAAGCCTACATCTAATGCAGTGGCTAAACAGAGAGGATGAGAAGGAAAACCGTCACTCACAGAACCCAGGTCGGTCTGCTGTAATTTTTTGTTGGGTGGTTCTTTAGACATGTTTTTGGGTGTTCCGTGTATCTGTGAATAGAACAAAAAATTATGACCTGAGCTCAGAGGAGAAAGATTTCTAACTTGCTTTAATACTTTCACTTTGTTATTTTAACAGTTTTGCCTTGAAATTAGAAATAGTCAAATTCTACAGTTATCTTTCTGCAGACAGACTGACAGACAGATAGATGGTGCACAAGATGAATTTACAATCACAGTACCATCAGTTTTTACTTAGAAGACAAGAAACTAGTTTCCAAATTTTAAAGTAAACTAAATTAATGAACTAGTATCCAAACTTAAAAAGAAATCCAGGAAATCTTACCTTGTCCAAGTTAAGAGAGAATCTGGATGGTGTAGGACAGTGTCTGAACTTCCTGACTTCAGAGTTTCTTTTCTCATTCAGTACACACCTAGTTAAACAAACAATCCTGATTTCCATATATGGCAAGCCATTTCAGCATTTAATCCTTAGAACATATCTATTTTCATCCTGCTAGTACTTATTTTTTAGTAACTATTGCTTATTCTTTAGCTTACATAATGAAATGTTGTAAAAAAAAAAAAAAAGGTATGCAAACTTATGTATTTGCCAAACGACACATCGGAAGCGAAGGTAATAGTATTTAAAAGTGCTAGTATCTAATAAATGCATTGTAATAGTAATTTGCATAACCCAAGTTCACTTGAGCTTGAGGTTACAAACTGATGGACATTCTCCTTCAGGATTTTCTGATAGAGTGCGGAATTCATGGTTCCATCAATTATGGCAAGTCGTCCAGATCCTGAAGCTGCAAAGCAGCCCCAGACCATCACACTACCACCACCATGTTTGACTGTTGGTATGATGTTCTTTTTATGAAATGCTGTGTTGGTTTTACGCCAGATGTAACAGGACACACACCTTTCATCAGTCCACAGAATATTTGCCCAAAAGTCTTGGGGATAAACAAGATATTTTTTGGCAAATGTGAGACAAGCCTTTGTGTTCTTTTTGGTCAGCAATGGCTTTTGCCTTGGAACTCTCCCATGGATGCTGTTTTTGCCCAGTCTCTTTCTTATTGTTGAATCATGAACACTGACCTTAATTGAGGCAAGTGAGGCCTGCAGTTCTTTAGATGTTGTTCTGGGTTCTTTTATGACCTCCTGGATGAGTTGTCGTTGCGCTCTTGGAGTAATTTTGGTAGGCTGGCCATTCCTGGGAAGGTTCACCACTGTTCCAAGCTTTCTCCATTTGTGGATAATGGCTCTGACCGTGGTTCACTGGAGTCCCAAAGCCTTAGAAATGGCTTCATAACCCTTTCCAGGCTGATACATGTCAGCTATTTTGTTTCTCATCTGTTCTTGAATTTCTTTAGATCGCGGCATGATGTGATGCTCTTTAAGCACGCTTCACTTTGTCAGACAGGTTCCGTTTAAGTGATTTCTTGATTCAACAGGTCTGTCAGTAATCAGGCCTGGGTGTGGCTAGTGAAATTTAACTCAGCTTTCTAAAATAATGTGGTTAATCACAGTTCTTTCATCATTTAACAGGAGGGGGCAATCAATTTTTCACATAGGGCCAGGTAGGTTTGGAGAGTTTTTTTCCCTTAATAAATGAAACCATCATTTAAAAACTGCATTTTGCATTTACTTGCATTATCTTTGTGTAATATTAAAATTAGTTTGATGATCTGAATCTTTTAAGTGTGACAAATATGCAAAAAATTAAGGAAGGGGGGCAAAAAACTTTTCATGGCAGCGTATGTTAATGGTTGTATTTTTTTTTCAGTATTCCTATCCATAAGGGTTTTGATGCATAATAGTAACCCTGGAATGTGATGAAACAGAGTTTCAAATAGCTGGGCTGAGATATATAACAACTGTTATGACTGCAGAAATATGTTAATTCAGTATATACACATTAACCCACCGGTCACAATTGTGACCAACCATAAAACACACTTTTTCACACACTTTTCAAAAAATAATCATTACTTCAAAGGGTGACTAATGACACCTCACCTGGATATTTTCATGTCTGAAAAATGTTTTGGATTAAACAGGTTGAGTCTCAATTAAAATTAGTTTGATGATCTGAATCTTTTAAGTGTGACAAATATGCAAAAAATAAACAAAAAAACAGGAAGGGGGCAAAAACCTTTTCACGGCACTGTATATTATAGAATAAAAACATAATAATCAAATTAACTTACCAAACGTCCAGAAATCCGCCGTTCTGCTTCTCTCTCCGGTCAGCAGCAGTTGTGTTCTGTCTGTGTGATGTCAGGTGGCGCGCTATTTACAGCAATCCTGTATTATTGCCTGGCGTATTACAGTCAGGTTACAGCAACACTAAAATATACTGTAAAATTTTCCTGCCAAGTCTAAATTACCCAGAATGCAATATAAAATACAGTATTTTACTATAATGTATAAACGTGGTATTGTACTGTAGGTTTTTACAGTACTGTGCTGCTAAAACTACAGCGATTTCTAACAGTGTATGTAATAAATAATACAACTAGTATCTAATGAATAAGTACCAGAATCTTTAAAAAAGATACTAGTACCTACGAAATAAGCACTAGTAGCCAATAAAGAAGTACTAGTACCTAAAGGAATACAAAACTAATAGCTAATAAGTACTAGTATCATGAAAATAGATACTAGTACGTTTTATGGATTAAATGTTAAAACAGCTTGCCATGTTCCATATCTGCTCTTCAGTCCACACCCAGTAAAGAGAATCGAAACTTAAACTTATGATGAAACATTTGCTTCTCACCTGCATAAAATTGCTAAAATTATATGTCTGTCATAAAACTGTGAATGCCAGCCACTGGCGTCACTGCCATTATATGATTGTCTGAGGTCCCTTTACGTGATAGCCGTTATACTTTTTCCAGTGGTAAGTACTACAGACTCCCGCATCTCCCAATAATAAGACGATCTCTGGTCAGGAGGTTGATCTGTTTGAGCCCTAGCTAGAAGAGTGCACGTTTCTGTTCATGTATCTTCAAGGTGTTAGTCACTGAGCCTAAAATTATATCCATATTTTAGAACATCTGTGGTCAGTTTTTAACAATGAAAAACTGTGATCAGTTATCACAGATGTCAACCCTTTGACTCAGCTAGATATAATTCATACTACTGCCATAGAACAGAAAGAACAACAGTTCTGAACAAAAACTACGTCAATAGATCTAGAATACAATATTTAACAGAATAAATGTTGTGA